GTTAGGAATTTATATCAAATCCACTACTTTTGTCATATTGGGATCATGACTCATCTAGGGCGTTACCAAATTTAGAGACAAACATTATGATTCATATATTTCTTCATATTTACATGAAGAAAACCAAGTATCAATGCCTTATTCTTAATATAATAGGTAGGAGATAAGGATGATTTTGAACTTGCTCTTCATCGCATATGGTTTTTTTTTTAAAACAAACTCTGACTTTATTCGATTAAAAGGAGAATGGATCATACATGCACTGCAAAACCAGAAAAACCTAGCTTGCTTCTTCTAACCCTTCGAAAGCTTGGAAGACCCACCCGATCGAGCGTGAGGTCACCTCTAACCAAGGCTGGCAGGTCGCAGAAAGATTCATATGTCGAGCTACTACTCGAGTCCACACCAATGTTTGCAAGACGATCGGCAGGCTTATTCGCTTCACGAAAGCAATGAGACACCTCTCGAAAGCATCTTCTATCCTCCAGCAAATCCTGTAGATCCCTTCGCAACCTCCATGCACACTGTACTGTCCCCTGAATGATCTGAACCAGCCCAAAGAGTCAGACTCTATGTGCAAATTCACGTACCCACGAGAGATAGCCAACCTAACACCAAATAAAAGTGCTTTCAATTCCGCATGCAAGCTGGTCGTCTCCCCAAAACAGCACGAATACCCCAAGATAAACCTTCCCTCCAAGCACCGGAGCATGCCCCCACCACCACTCTTTCCTGGGATACCCCTCACGCAACCATCCGAGTTTAGCTTGACCACATGAGGCACCGGACGGTTCCAGTGAACCACCAAGGTTGTGTACTCTCTTCTCAGTCTAGCCACCATACCAACCAAGCACGGCCAGTCAGGTACAGCAGGATGGTGCCCTTAAACTGCAATTGCATAATATCCCTGAGGTCAGCAAAAATACTTCCACACACATGTGGCACCGACAACCATTGCCCTTCGAACACAAATTTGTTCCGCATCTTTCATAGATTCCAACAGATTAAAGACGGTAGGAGACGAAAAAGGTACTGGAGATATGGATTCCGAGCAGGCTGCAGCCACCAGCTAACCACCTTATGTCATATCATAGAAGACGATCCAAACCCACCAATCACCTCTTCAAAGTACCCCAAATGCTCCTTGCCACCTCCCCAGTGCAGAAGATGTGATCAATAGTCTCTGGACATGGATGTAGACAGCAAAGCCGAGCAGTCGGCTACCTATCAATCTTAACATGAAGAATGAAATCTTGAGCGGCACTCCTGAAGCCAGAGCCTCGAGTAGAGCCAAGAGCTGTTGCCACCTCCTCGAGCAATCTGATAGGCTGATGCTAATAAGAAATCACCTGACATACTTGGAGCCCAATCCATGGTGTCCGCTTGATCTAGAGAAGGCGGAGCAACTTCCAAAACCTGCCCCACGCATCTACTAGGTAGCACTGCGCACAACCGCTGAACGTCCCAGTCACCCTAGCCAACAAAATCTGAGACTACATATTCTTGAAAATTATCCACTTGCCGACATAAAGGGCCTGTCCCCAACCAATTATCATACCAGAAACTAATAGCGCCCCTAGCCAAAACCCACCTGATATGCTACTCAGTCATCCCTTGGATAGCCACCATTCGCCTCGAAGTCCACGAATCACCGGGAGAAGTATCAACAAAACAAGGATGAAGATTGGGGCAGTATTTGCAATGCTAAACTCAGCCCACAAAGACTGCCGCAGTCGAAACCCACCATAGTCTCATCAAGAAGGCATCAAACACACGCGTTAAGGATCTCAACCCCGCACCCCCCTATCATATGATTGACCCAACTGGTCCATTTTATCCAATGAAAGCGCGCCCAGTCTCTGAGGAACTCCATAGAAAATCAGCAAAGATTTTATCCAATGTGCAAAAGATCGATTTAGGAGGAGTATTAATATGTAAGAAAGTAAAAATATATGCTTGCTATATTTGTTAAAATTCAACAATTCTACATACTTCATGAATTTTGATATTTCACTAATATTTATTATTTTTATTGTTAATCATCTAGCCAATGGAGTTGATTAAACTATGGTGAAAAAGTTTACAGAAAATATAAATGCTCGCTTTTGTATGCCTTTGCATTTATTTTATAATATTTGATAGTTATGTATTTCTTTATTATATTGAATTGTACACTATTACTTCTTTCGTGCATTGGGATTTTTATTGTGTTATCGCCTGCGTGGGATTCTTACTGTGCAATTATATAAGATATAATAGTTTTAATCTTATTTTTTAGACTTTGCCATTGCATAAAATAGGAATAGAAGGTGCTCTTGATGCAAATAATGTAATGTTATAGGTCCATGGTTATAGCAGCGTCACTTTATTTAAATAATTAGTGAATATATATATAATATATTATATGATAATGTAGATATTTAGCAAATCTAATTTGATAATTGTGCTTATTATGATATTTTATATTATTAGTAATTTTTAAAAAAAAATTTAGAAACTTTATGTACCGAAATATATGTACCAACCGATATCCGACCAATGTGCCTTGACTACGACATCGAATGACTTTAATCGGATAAGCTTAGCACAAGACTTCACACAGGCACTAGATTCGTAGATTATTTTAAAGTCGCCTGACTGCAACAAGGGTTTTGGGTTACTTGAAGGTATTCCCTCCTCTCTACATTAGCCCGTGATTACTTGTGTATAATATTATTTTTCCTCTCTATTTATGTAACACTGCCTTGCCCTTTTAGAGTTAACCTTGCACTACTACTTTCTTACTCTCTTGCCTTAGCTAATTAACTAAAAAGTTTACTAAATTCGACAACATCTATTAGGGGAAAATGCTTTTTCATCGCCGTTGTTTAGGGGTTGAACCAATTTAGTCTCCATTACTTCAGCAAACACACATTTCATCTCTTAAATTTTGATTTCTGACCAATAGGGCAATTGATATTAAATCACTCATCGACAGAAATTGATGTTTAATCACTTAATTTAATCGGAATAAAATACATCAATGGTACGCACCATTTGTGAAAAGACTTGACCATGCGGGAGAAAAAAATTATCAGATTGGCCCCATTTCGCCATCCCTATGATTCTACCCAATTATTCGACACATCTATCTACATTATTCTTAAATTTTGATTATTTTTTTGAAGAATTTTGAGTGTTTATGAATTTTGTCTCTTTCAAGTGTTTTCATTAATAATGTGTGCCTATCACATATTTTATTTTATCCAAATTGAGTGCTTAATGTCAATTTTAGAACAAATTGAATGATTAAACATCAATTATTCCCAATTGATCAAAATCGAAACTTAAAGGACGAAATGGTGTTTGTATTGAAACAATGTCAGACCAAATTGATCCACCCCAAACAATGAGGATGACAAATGCATTTTTCCCATTTGTAATAAGTGTAACAGGCTCTCTGATCAATTTACTTTGGAACATTAAGGTGGATTGCTCATGACAAAAGCAACTCTGTTCCTTCTAAATCAAAAGTCATAGATTCTGTTGATTAGTACCTGTAATTAATTTTCAGCCTGTAATTTGATGGCAGTAAGGTGCGTGTCATCCTTTTTAAATATTTTTCTGGCAAATAAAATTTTGGGGTGGGAACCATTGGCATTGCCCCAAAAAAATATTCTCAACAGGGCTTTACCCTTTTGTATTGTCAGATACACAACTAGTTGGTCCAGATCGATTCCTACATGGAGAGTATTTCATAAGATAATTCATTCAAAAAAGATAGTTGCCAATGGGAGAGGAGCGAGCCAAGGCGAGGTTGGGTTAAAAGCTTCAGGTTCGCTCTTTTTTTTTTTCCCTCTTTTCGCCCTTTATTTTCCTTTCTTTCCAAGGAAGCATATATTCTACCGTTCTAAAACCAATCCAAATGGGAAGAAAAAGGACTAGATCTATTTTTTGGACCTCTCCGATTGCAAGATTTTAATTTGAGGGAAAATGGACGTATCCTTGGGTCCTCCAGTTAATAAACGCGCCCCAGTTTTCGATTATTTATTGCAAAGGACATGTGTGTTGATTTTTTGTAAAATGTGTTGCTAGATATATACAATAAAAAATAGTTTGGCCAATGAGTGTTCAACAGGCACCTCTTAAATTTGTTAAAAAGTGTAATTAATTTAGAAATGTATTTAATGTAGGTGGTGTAATAATTGTGATTGCGTGTATCCTAATCATAAGCGAGCTATAAAATAAGTGCTATTACTTGCCTGAAGAATCTTTAAAAATATGTATATTCATTATAGATAATCCTAAAATTATTCCCATTTCATGTATTATAAATTTTCTTATCCCATTGTTCAGTATACCGATAACTTACAAACTGATTCCCTTACGTACGTTCCTTTGCAATTCCATCTATTAATTCACTTTAGATTTACAATCTGTTCTTCTTTAACAGCACATTACACCGAAGCCTCCTCCTTTCTCCAGACTAATAATAGCCAAAGCAGAAATCCCCATAATAAGAATAAGAAGTACATACTGTACATATTAGTTTCAATTCACGATGAAGGCAATGACCGTATTGGCAACGCAAATTCGCTTCCTTAGCATTTTCGTAGTCTGCACTTGCTGCTCTCTGAGTCAATCTGGTATTTATATTTTATGAGTCTGATTGACCTGTTCATATCCCATTAATATCTATGCTTGCTTCGTTGGTTCATGATTTTTGTATTTTTCTTACTCAGTTGTTGCATTTGCAGGAAGCATACCACAAATTTCTGAGTCCAAGAACTCACAAGTACCAGCACGTCCACTCGTTTGATTTAATGCTGAAAAAAGCAAAGAGACAAGGAAAGGTTTTTTCTTCAGGATAGCACTTTAACTGTACAACCAAATGACAATTTTCCTCCCTATTGTACATTATCTCCCTTGATCCCAAAATCTCCAATTTCAACTGCTCCAACCCCCGGAATTTATACACCACTGTCCCTGCCTTCGCCAATGTATTATGCACCACTTTCACCATGCAAAGTCCTCCTCCAACTGCAAGCACACCTAGAATAGTCCCAACTCCACCATGCGCCCCCCCATCACACCCACGCACAGCGACCACAGTTTTCAGTCTGGTGTGTTGCCAAGCCCACTGTACCTCCTACGCACTTCAGGTGGCACTTGATTATGCCTGCGGTTCAGGTGCTGATTGTGAGCCCATAAAACGCAATGGATTGTGCTATCTGCCTGACACAGTGATCGCTCATGCTTCCTATGCTTTTAACAGTTACTGGCAGAAGACTAAGCTGGCTGGTGGAACTTGTGATTTTGGAGGGACAGCCATGCTTGTCAGCGTTGATCCCAGTAAGACAAATGTCATCTGTGATTAAATCTTTTTCAGAAACATTTTGCCAAATTGCATTTTGAAAGTTCCAAACAAATGGAGGAATTTAATTGCCCCACGATTAACTTGACAATCACTAGCTATATGAACGTAGGTAATTTAATTTTTTAGTAACTAGAAGTAGGTAAAATCCTAGCGTCGAAATAGGCAAATTAGGTTCAAATGCGAACTCAAGAAGGTTTTCTATTTATATGCTACAATGAGCAATTTCGACATTTTCTTAAGGTGCACTGCTTACTGATTGGCTTTCAGCAAATGCCGGTTAACCATATAGCACCTAACACCCATAGATGTACATGTCTACATTTATTATTTTCTTTAATTCGAAAATTTTCCTGTTTATATTTACATTTCTAAAGTGTTATTACACGTTTTTTAGCACCTAATACTTATAAATGTATATGTCTAGATTTATTATTTCCTTAAATTTCTAAATTTTCCCTATTTAGGTTTACATTTCTAAAGTGGTGTTACTTGAAAAAGCTGGTACTCAATAAACACAAGCAAACGAAACTCATACTAAACACCTACTACGGTGCACCATATAATTCGTACATGTCCCGCCCAACTCCATAATTCGTGGCGTCAGAATCCCCTTAGAAATTGTACTTAAGTTCTTGCTACAATAGTAAGATTAAAGGTTGTCAGAACCGATTTGTGTGGGTCCAGCTAGTAGGCTTATAATAAAGCAATGGCTAAAGTATAGTGGAAGCACCTAAATTTGTCAAAAGGTTCTATATTATTAAGGAAGTCTTTATCTAGTTACTAACGTGGAAAGTTTAACAATTTGAGATTCTGGATTCAAATCACCTTTTTTCCCTCTCATTTCTTAAACCTCACACTTTTCCTACTTACAAAAATGTGAAAAGGTTTTATATAATTCTTTGAAAAAAATGAGGCTTATTTTACGCTCATTAAATTAATTTTGGCTAAAATTCCAAAAATATCACTCAAAATTTGGTCATACATCATTTTTTGTCTTTCATTTATCACCTCGAGAATATCCTAGTAGTATCTTTATGATAAATATAAGACCATAAATTTAGAGGATGCTACCCTCGCGGGTATTCTTGCACATTATTGCGCGATTGCCGATAGTGTTTATAGAAGAAGTTTCTTGGTGAAGTACCACAATCGTGATGATATCTACTGTATCTTCTGTTAATATCTTAATAGTTAGGCTCATGGTTTTACGATTAGTAAAATGTCCTAAGCTATATAAAATCTCAAAGATAGGTTGTGGAGAATATCATTAGTTTATAGCGTTTATTTTCGTACAGTGGGTACTTAAATTGGAATTTTAGTGAAGTCAGTGGCAGAATCAAAGTGGAGGCATTAGGGGCGTGGGCCCCAATGTCCCGCAAAACTGTACCAGTATACTTGTGTTTTAAAAAATTTTCAGCTCTGTTCCCACTAAATTTCAACAGTGGATATAATATAGGACTAATTTATGATTAGATGGAATTGGAATGCTGACCAATCCAAAATCAAAAGCTTTTTTTTTTCTAACCATTTAGTTTACTTGGAAGTATTTATAATTTACTAATCATTACTCAAATGACTTGTCCGGACTTTTTCTAGTGATTAAAAAAAAATTATGTTAAAGGTCTGCTCAATTAGAAATAAAGCAATTGTGATCTTTTTCAATACAACATGGGAAAAATTTAAAATTTGTATCCTTCTTATGACTAGTAATACAATAGGTCAATTTGCAATTTCAAAATGTTTAGTATGCATTTTTTAAAGCTTTTTATATAAATTTATTATTTTATTTGCAAATTATGTTGGGTTGCATTAATCATGACATACATGTATCGATTTTGTATGTAAATATTATCGTGTCTTTAAAAAAAATTATCAATATATATTAATATTATTTTTGCGCCCCACTGAAAATTATTTCTAGTTCGGCCAATAAGTGAAGCCACAGATTAAGAACCTACTGCTTTTGTCAAGGAACTTTAACAGGATAGTGACCTATGGAATTGTAACGGTGAAATGAACAGATTAAAGAATCAACTAACTTAACAAAATTCACAATAATTTGTTTTCCATTATCATAACCAAAATTGTGTATTGTGTACACACAATAGACCAAATATATCGTGAATGCAAATAATTTTTCCTTCGAGTTACAACATGCCCCGTTGTCGTTACTTATAATTTTGGTACTGAGTGCATGGAAGGACAGAATTTTACGCAGCTTCCATCATATACCTTCCCAAAAATGCACCTAAAAACATATAAAATGCACATAAAATAGAACTTCCTCCATAACGGGCTTTTAGATCATCCTAGACGGTCTGCACTGAATTATAGGTGACAAACAAACACATTTAACTAATTTTATTCATACCTACTTATGAATAGATGGATATGAGTATTTTAACCTTTTGTATATGTGTAAAAATGAGTTATCCAATAATACCCATTTAATAAATGGTATGAAATGGATATTACTGGCTAATCCATCAAATCTAATTAAGCTATTTAGAATTGTCTTCCCCCAATCCTCCTCTCTTCCCCCACCTATTTTTTTTTCAGATTCTTCATTTTATCATGATGTTAACTACTTTTACTTCATATTATTATCATTATTATTATTTGTTGGTTTTATCTTATCATTTTATTTTTCTTAGTTTGTTATCTTGCTCATTTTTCAGCATTACCAATTTATGACAAGTTTTATCCTTTTTTCCTACCTTTCAAAATGAAATTCTAAATTTACACGAAAAAAATGCTAGGGATTCAAAATTTTGGATTAAGTTTTTATATTAACTTTTATAGTACTTAGTTCAAATGTTTATATTTTTATTCTTTCAAAAAAAAAATTTGTGACATAGAGTACGGATGGAAAAAAATTGGTAATTAGACTCATTGAGCATTATAAGTAAATATTTAAAACTAATAATGGATGCAAAGCGTGGTGTAAATTGATGACTTAGTATATGCAAAAATAAATTTAAATGAGTTTACAAAAAATTAAAATAAATGGATTATAAATAGGTAATTGGGTTACCCAATTTATTTTTTAACTTACCAATTTATACCCATCTAATTAAATAGATATAAATGGGCTGACTCACTTACACTCATTACCTATTTTAACCAACATAAACCTACCCAAGTCACCCATTTTGACACCTCTACATTGAACCAATCAAGTATAGCTGCATATAGATTGTCTTCTACTTTAGAATCTCTCTCTATCTTAAAATTTTACCTTTCATTATATTTTTTTATACTATATTACGTAGAGAATAACTTAACCATGAGAAGGATCAAATAACTCTTGGGAAATAGATAAATATTTATATAAATAATCTTAATTGTCTAACAATGAGCGACTACGAGGCATCTTTCTTTTGAACTGTTTTGGGGACAGGTGTAGGCGTAATTGTATAACCAATCAATTGCTTAGAGTTGCTGTATTTCTTGCAAAAATTATTTTGCACTAAAAAACATTGATGCGCTCGTATAAATATAATAATTGATAGATCGGCAGCAAAGATGACCATAGCCAGCCGATTTCCCTATTTTCGGACTCATTTTCCCCTAGGCTTCTCACGCACTTACTTTTTAGCATAATACACATAATTTATCTTTGGTTGTTTATCCTTTAACCGGCAACTATGAAACTCTCACACAAATTTGTCTGGCAGGTTACGATGAGTGCCAGTTCATCTACTCCTGAGGAATGGAAGGACCTTAGGATTTGGAAGTGGATGGATAACCTGAATACCTGTCTCTTGTATAAATTTGAGCCCGGAAAAAAGGGAAAATGAATGAATTGATGGTGTCTTATTCTGTGTAATTTGATTTTTTGTTTCTATTATGAATTTAGTAGAACTACGTCAAATCATAGTAAGTGATGACAATGGAATGTTCTCTTCTTTGTGGTCTCAGACTTCGAAGTAGCATACGAAATTAGAATGAAGTTTGCTCAATTATCTTATTTAAAAGAACATACATTTACTTATACTTTCTTACTAGTACTCTGAACTTTACATCAAAAATAAAATTAATAATATATTTTTATATAATATTATAAAAAAAGCAAAAGCTTAAAAGTTCAAATAATTTCATTTTATTATAAATTTTCGTTAACATGTACTATTTTTGTCAAATAAAAACATGAACTATAATGAGGCAGTTGATTGAATATGTTTTAGGTGTAATCTATGATACCTCAACATTTGAGCTATCAAACAATCTGTTGCAGTGGGCAAAAAACTTGGCTGAAATTGTGAATCATTATTGAATTGTGATTTTGATGGATTTTGATTCCTACAATAAAAGTAGAAATGTTTTTCTTTAAAAGTGATGAATGGATCAGACGTAAATGTAACAAAAAGTTTTTTGGAGGTCAGAACATTTTTCACACCGATCAACCCTTAATACGAATGCTATTGTTGATAGATGTGCCAAATTTATTTTTTTTTTTGAATTTATTGGAGTTCAAATCACAAATAATAATGCACAATCTTTGTATGGATTAATGTATTTCTGCACCAATGTATTACAATTGTCCTGTACATTAAAGATACATAAAAAGTGTAAGTCATCAATTAACTTCTATCATATACAACATAGGCAATAAACACAATTGATATAAATAATTTATACCTTCTTTTGCAATCTCTAAGATACGATACAAGACAGTAAAATATGAACTCAGTATGCTTGTCTTGAAGATTGATATTTAATTTGTTTTTACTACCCAATGGAAACCCTAAGCTGGAATTTATGCTAACCAACCAGAAATTTCTTTTGGCAAAGTAAACTATCACCTAAACACAAGATTTTCCATACATCAAAGCTAGGAAATCATGGCCAACCATTACACATCACATGAGGGCAGAAAATTCTCTAAGAAAACTGAAAATTCCTCAATCATTACTTCAAATCACAATATTCCTCATAAAACTGCATATTTCTCATTTCCAAACCACTAATATGCAATTACTAGAAGTAAAGAAGGATTTTTTGACAATATACCTTATGACCACAAGGAAAAATGGTAGCTTAGACCTTTCTCCTCCAAAATAACTCCACCAAAGCCTTTAAGTTTCCTTATAGTGATCACTTGTATGGAGTAGTTTGTGATTTGGTTGGTTAAAACTCAAGATTGAAGCTAGAAAGTGAAGTAAAAAATGAAATTTTTTTCTCTCTTATTTTGCTCCTCAAACAGCCTGCCAAGACCAAGAAAAATGGGAGAAAAATTGGGTCAAAATTGGTTTTAGTAAAGGTGAGAAGGTCTTGATCAAATCCAACCTCCAACCGGTTTGCAACACGTGGCACCTTAGATGTTTTAAACTTATCTTCTCACTCCTAATGGTTAATCTATTTAACTAACCTCTAATCATCTCCTAGCACCATATAAAATAATAACACTTAGCACAAAATCACTTAGTCACCAAAATTTTATCGCACTAGCGGGTCCCAAGTCTATAATGCACTTCCATTTTAACATACACTAACTTATGCTAGGAAAATTATGACAGCCCCACCTCTCCCTAGGGTGAACCCTAGGGTATCAGCGGACTGCCTGTCCAGTTCTCGCCGGGGCTCAGTCGATCAAAGAACTAGCAACTCAAAATAACTGGGGAAAAATAACTTCAAATTAAATCGTACAACCCTAATAACACATAACCGTCAATCAACTTTCCAAACTTAATACGGCAAGCTAAGAGTCACACTTACCATTCCATACTACAAATTATATAACATGAGTCAAACTTATACATTCAAGCTTACAAAAGTAAAAGGTAAAGTCATCTTAACAAAAGGTTACAAGTTCAAGCAAAACAAAGCTAAGAAAGCTCTCGACCGTTAGTCCATCCCCGATCTGTTAAGGAAAACAAAGGGAGTGGGGTGAGCTAAAGCTCAGTGAGGTTCCAAGTAAAGCAAGTAAACACATAGCCAAATTAAGGCATAAAATAATCAAATAAATACCGTATGATACAATAACAAGTAACCACAGTTCAATTCAAGGATATGGGGTGGCTTTCAAAAGCCAAAATCCCCTTGAGCTTGATCATAAATGTCTCCGTTGACTCTCCGTCGACACTTGTATACACAGAATATCCAGTCTGTAGAACACCACTTTCACCTCCTCTGTCCACCAATCAACTCCCCACCGGACCCGCACTCCATAAACAGTAGTTAGGTAATACTCGAGTATACCGATTTCAGTGTACAGTAAACAGTCCTCAAGGTTTATCGGCCTTCTCGACCAAGCTAACATCCCGAATATTAGGAGGTTGTTTGTGAAGAAAATATTAAAGTATATTTCTTCGGGTTTGATTTAAAACCTTATTTTGTTTTAAAAGACTAGAAACCCTAATGTTTTAATCAAAAAAAAAACCCTAGTTTACTTGTGACTAAACGGATTCTTAAATCTCTCATATTTTACTAGAGATCCTAATGTTAATTATTGAAATTGTAAATTCCTCACGTTTTCTTAAAAATTTCCTTTTATTTGAAAATTATTATTTATTAAGGCCCTACTACCCAATTGTTCAACAATAAGTGTAGATGAACCTGGAAATAGGGTTTTACACTTCGGTTTCAAGATTTGAGCAAAATTAGGGTTTTCATGATTTTTCGCCGGATGAATTTTCGATACTGACCAAGGATCAATTTGGTGATTAAAAGTGACTTTTAAGTGAGAAATAATATGTGATTAGTAGCAATGATATAAGGTTAGTGAATGGCAAGTAAAAACCCTAATACGTGTGTTTTTAAGAAAAACGGCGCGAACCGGCGGGTCCCGCGCACTACCGGTTGAACGCACCACTTGACCACCACTTTCTTACCATACAAGCTTATTGACTTTTGAGCAAAATATCTTCTTGTTTGGCAGCTGCTTTGACCGAAAATTTGAGGCTAGAAAATAGCAAGGAAGAAAGAGAAAAATGAAAGGTGGTGGTCGCCACCCTAGAGTTTCTTGGCCAAGTGATTAACTAGCCTTCTTAAACCAATTTTCTGCACTTTCCTCTTCATTTTTCCAGCAGCTGGTCGACCAAGAGGGAGAGAGAAAGTGAGAGCAAGAAACAATTCCTTCTTCTTGATTCTAACCAACCAAGTGACAAATTAAATTTCTAAACCGATTAAACTTACCTATGAGTGATTAGTTAGTGATTGTTGGTGAAATTTTGGAAAGAGAAAGCTTGGGCTACACTTGGAGAACTCTAATCAAGGTAAGGAAGATGATATCTCTAAATTTTACTTTCAATCTTGTTTAAATTAAGGTTAGTAACTTGATTTGTGGTGGAATCATGGATGCTATCATGTTTTGGAAGTTTTTCCCTTTTTATATGATGAACTAGGGTTTGAGGAATTTCTGCCCAATTTGGTGTATGATGCATATATGTTGTAATTAATTTTATAGAAGGGGTTTTGGTAGTGATTGAAGTGAGAAATTAAGGAAGATTGCATTAAAAACTAAAAATTCCAGATTTCTGGAAATTCTTGCTTCCATTCTGTCCGGTTTTGTAACTGTATGTTGGAGGCCGAATTGGCCTTAGGTCAAAGAATGAAAGTTATAGAGAATGGTATTTTATAGGTACCTATAAAATTTCAGCTCAATCGGAGCAACGTAGGTCATGAAAAGTCCAAAATACCCTTACTGTTTTAAGTTTTTCCTCAGCAGTCCGTTTCTTCAGTTTGTCCAGTTTATTACGTTTTTTCACTAGAATGCGTACTGATTTAGCTTTTTACCAAAACATGAAAGTTGTGGTACTCTGACTTAGCTTTAAAATGCCTCTAAGAACACCTGAATCGGACTTGTGTACTCTGAGATATGACCATTACAGTATAAGGCGGTTATCAGCCGACAAATTGGATTTTGGTTCTGTAATTTGAGGATTTGACTAAGCTACATTAGGAACTGGACTAAGTGACCTTCATGAACATTGCAGCCCTATATCTTAGCTTCGAAACGGCTTCGGTTGCGTCTCAATCCGATAAGTTTAGCCTCGGATATGTTATTTCCGCATTCATACGTCAAATCTGCCTTGTGCTAGATTGTATTTCTGCACTTGCTATTATTGTAATTCCTATTCTTATGATATTGTAAGCCTATGGAACGGCTTTTGACTTGAATTGCTGATATTTATGATGTTGGATTTTGGTTGAAGAAAAATAATGAAGCCTAAATGGCTGGAAAGTAGGTAAACACAAAGGGCATGCTGCCCGAATTTTTACTCGAGGTCTAGAAAACTATCTTTGCAACTTGAGTATGAGTTAAGAGTGATTACTGCTTGAACCATCTAGGGTACTTAAGTCTTCTTGTCCCAAGATATATAAATAAGGACTTGGCCGAACTTGTACCCTTGAGAAATGAAATAATGATTGTTCAAAGTACGATTTCCTTGTACTTTCGACTCGCATGACCATTTCAAGTATAAATGTTACAAAGTTTTATCATTTAAAAAGTGAGCGAGTATTTCACGAGTATTCTCCAAGTGAATTTTCATTTCTTGATTCTTATTGAACGAAACGTCTAAGTTTCGAACTCTAATCATGTTTCAAAGTTCTCAAATTGAGTTTTATCGCAGATTTGGACTCCGAACTCGGAGTATGACCTGAAAGTGACCAGTAGCACTATATCTTTTGGGTGAGTGCTTTCAAATACCAAATTGAACTTGATACTTGAACTTGATACGTGACCAATCTGATTACATGTTATATACGTGAATTGTAAGGGCAAGAGTGTATTTTATCGCACTTGCCCTTACGTGATATACTTGTTTATTGTTGCAATTGACTTGATATACTTGATTATGATGCGCGCACTTCCTGGAATTCCAGAAACCCTGTGGCGAGTTACTCTAGTCGAGCCGGCAAGGGCTTGGTCGATTGGGTAACGAACCCTGGGTCTCTTGTATTGTCGAGTGGAGTGATATCTCCTCGACTAATCGTTATACTCGAGTATTGCCACCCGTGTTCTTGAGGATTT